TAATATATTGCCAATAGCACAGATTTGAGATTTCAGTCTATATAATATTATTATGTATATCACTTTATATTTATTATTGCATAATGGCATTTGCTCTTTTATTTCAGTTTTACCATGGACTTACGACGAGTTAAAAATGAGGACAAGCTTGATTTATGTCGAAAGTATTGGATAGGTATAAAAATATTCTTGGAAATACACACACCTACTTATCATCGATCAATTGTATGAAATGTTGATAAGCTGGATATACTGATAATTATTAAATCTGTTTTCAGGTGGTTGGTGCCTTCTTCCATTTTTGTGGTGTATCAACAGCTTTTGGTTTTTTAATGAAGCTTTCAGAAAACCACCCTTTGATCAACAGAAGCAGATCAAATCATGTGAGTGCTGAATAAACATGGTATTTTTTTGGCATTGTATTTGTTGCCTGACGTTAGTGACTATTGCATTCAAGTCCAATGGGGTGCATGTCCATTTACTTGTAAACCAAACTTCAAAATAAGCTTTACCTTATAAGTGCTGTCTTACTGCATCTGTGGCCAAACGATAACTAGTGTGCCCATACTGTACATGTACTTCCTATATTGGTGATTTTCTATGTTCATTACCATCTGGCATTGATCATGGTTTCTAAATGAAATGACATGTATTATATATTTTTTGTTCAACAGATGTGATTAGATCAATGGTAGGATCGCTCCTCTGGATGGCAGCACTAGTCACTTGGATATGCATGTTCCAACTGAAACGAGCAGAATGGGGCGAATTTGCCGATCGTATTAGCTTTGTTATACCCAAAGGAATTCCTTGACCGTTGGTAATTTTTGCTTTCCTATTGGATTTCATCCTCAACACAACAAATTGGTTGGTTGTAGTTGTAACGGTGTGCACGTTACATATTTCTTATTGGAATTGCATATTATAACTCACAAAAAGATATATATTTGCATCAAATGTTAAATTATAGCTTGTATGCCTAAAGAATACATATTAAAAGGAAAAAGCAGATGCAATTCACAAAAAATTGTGTATATATGAATTTTTCATAGAGGCGGTAAACTTTATTTGACCAATTGTGTAGATGTCTTTGCAAGAGTTTTGTGTAATTTGTATACATAACATGATAAAAGTTTGATCGATAGATAATTCCATAATTGTACTTTATAAAAATGTATAAAATTAGGTCCTGACACATGTGTTTATAAATATCAATTTTTGTAAATAAAATTTCCTTAATTGCTATTTATTCTTCATGGGTGGATTCAGTCATTTCAGGTAACCTCTACGTATTTGTGGCAAACAATAGAAAAATGCTGGGTAAACTAATGCTGGAATACACAAAGCTCACCAACCAAACGTGCAGATGTCCCAGAGGGACCTTAAGTACTCCAGTACCATCTCTACATGCCAAGTGTGAAAATTAAGTGCAGCGCATTGTAGTAATTATTGACTACCAAGCATACTTAAAGCATACTACATGCACCAACAGTATTATTATAAAAGTGCGATGTGCACTGTATTAAACTACTGTACTGCACTGTATGCACTTTCATAAACCCTTATACTGGATGTGTCATACTATAACTTTCTTCTAATTTTCGTTGAGTATCGGACTAAATATTTGAAGAGCGTATTATAAAAAATCTTTCACTTGCATATTTGTAAACTTCGACATGCTGTAAGGTCACAGTGAAAAAAGTCCCTTGTCTTTGCCAGTCACGATTCATGAATGAATCCGCGGCACCATGTCCATGCTCCACTCGGTTACCGGTTGGCGAAAACCTCAAAATTCGTCAACTATTGAACTGAAATAAAACAAAAGAGAAGGCGATATGAACCGAGTATTCATCAGAAGGCTGTAGTAGGCAGTACTCGTTTGGGATTTTAGCAATTCTGAATTTGACTTATTGACCTATGATTTTTAACAAAAAATTTCCCAACATGTTTTCCTGTGTTTTCAATAGTTAATTGCTCATGCATAAAAGAATGTGGCGACAGTCAAGTTTCAGGAGCAGGTGCCCACGTGGTACGTGCATTCTACCTCTAGTTTCTAATTATCACGTTATTTCCAAAATTTCTGCTAAAAAATGTGGGAAAAAAAGAAAAACTTTGAAACCTAACATCAGTCCTTACAATTGAATTGCGCTGACCTCTACGTCATGCTACGAAGCAAGTTTTTACTTATGTCGTTGATTAGCTCAGAAACGCTGCTAAGGGAACGGTTCAGCAACGGATAATCTCTGAATATGTCATACATTATGGTTATAAGTAGCCGTGATATTAGCTAGGTTTCTGGTATGATAATTACTAACACTTCCGAAATACTAGGCCTAAAAAAATAAAGGCAAATCGGCTCAACTTACCTGCGCCATGTGGTAAGTTGAGCCAGGTCACGGGGTAAGTTGGCCATATGGGGGTAAGTTGTGACGAAGTATTAACACTGGAATTTAGGCTTCCCTGTAATGACTAGAGTATGACAGGTGTGAAATGTATACCCCAAATTTGTTTAAATACACCCATAGACATCAACTTGAATTTACAACACCAAAAAGTCATGAAGAATTACCAATGATATATTCACCATGTTTCATAAATGAACAGTTTAAATGAACAATTTTTTAACAATTACAAACTTGTTACAATCTTACATCATTTAATTATTGTCAACAGAGCACTGGCACCTCGTTCTGGACAAATCATAAAGATTAATAATAAGATCTGGTTTTATTCCACGTTCCAAGCATCGAGGTTGCAAGGGAATACGAAAATTTCATTTCGTCTTGCGGTCCCCCCAAGTTTGATGGGAACAGGCAGTTTCATTACTATATCTTTTCTCTCAAAGGTACTTTCGTCATTATCTTTGAAAATAAATGTCGGCTTCGTTTTGAATTTTTCGACAACTGGCCCTCGTTGCATGAATTGGCCAGCAAACTCACCAACAGCTTCATCCGTTTCGTCAACAAAACCAATGTAGTAGTGCTCCTTATTCTTCCCAACAAATCGAACCAAGACGAAATCATCAATTAATATCTCTGTTCCAACATCAAGGTGCTCATCACTCAGTTCATCTATCTCCTCATCCGACTCTGAACTACTACTTGACTCTGAACTACTGCTTGACACCACTAGTCTTCTCTTAGACTTAGGCTTCGGTTTTCCCGCCATCTCTGCTTGCTTTCTATCCTTAGTGCGCTGCTTTTTCTCATTAGCAATGCGTTGCTTGTCTTCTTTTTCTCTTAACTGTGCTATTATACGAGTCCTTTCTGGTGTATCTGTCAGGATCCTTGTGCTACCTTTTTTTCGCCCTCGATTGGATGTTTTGCGAGCTGGTGCTTTAGGGAACCGGAGTATATCTGATGGAGATATGTAGCCAACTTCATCGCTGGTAGATGCTTGTGGTTCAGTCTGAGCAATAGCTGTTCGTTATTGGGCCATATCTGCCGGTACAGGGCTATGCCTACTCCTAATGCTGGTGGATGCTAGTGGTGCGTTCTGTTGTGCAGTCTGTTGATTTGGAATCTCCACCGCTTCTTGTTGCATTGGTCGATTTGTTACTGCTGATGGCGCAAAGTCGCATTCTGGAAATATGTCTCTGTTGAACGGAAATATCCCGGTTGAGCGAAAACCGGACACAATGTTGTCATGTGACACGGCAGCAGAGAATGCTGTAGTTACGATCTCTGGTATGTTGTAGATGGTGAATGTTTTCCCAACATTACTACGCATCCAACCATCTAATGTGCGATTGAATTGTCGCTTAAACGGCCCATATACCGTTTTGTCTAATGGTTGCAACCGATGAGAGGTGTGCGGTGGAAGGGTAAGCAAATGAATTCCGTGTTCTCTGCAAATATCAATGCCCTCCAATGAGATGTGGGATTCATGATTATCCAGGATTAGAAGTATCCTGTGAGCCGTTGAACAACGAGTATGCTTTATAACATGTGGCAGATAGGTCTGGACAAATATTGTCTCATTCATCCAACCCGACTTTGCCGCGGTTCCACCAGAACCAGAGGGAGAGCCTCGAAGGAAATGATCTTTGAATCTAACCCGAGGGAAGATGAATACAGGTGGTAAGGCATTTCCAACAGCATTGACAGTACAAACAATTGTTTCCAACTCTCCTCTTTCTGCTGATGTAATTGACCCCACTTGTTTTTTCCCCATTTTAGCTATAATCTGCTTGGGAGTCTGAACGGTTGTGACCCCAGTCTCATCCATATTGAAAATCGCTTCCGGTGCAAATTCGTATCTGAAAATAAAAAAACAAAACAATTTGACTCCAAAGTTCACTTCTAAAGAACATAATTACGTAGGCACATATAGGCACGATAACTAAAATGAAGAGGTAACTTACCTGTCCATGAGGTCAGCCAGGTTGTCAAAGAATGTCGACACTGTATGTCTGTTGAACGCGGTTGCTCTTCCAACAGATGTCGCCTCAGGAGTCCGTAGTGAGAGACGACGTCTTTTCCTAAATGATAGCAACCATTCCTTACCTGAAAAGTTATTGTGACTTATTAGCAACCAACCTACATTGACCTACCAGCGTTTGAGTTTATCCCACTTCTAGTAGTTAAAATATATATAGAGAGAATAGGTATTTTATTTCTGACCAAAGTCCGTGTTAGGCTTAAAAAGACTATGACATTGCAAAATTACACTACAACAATGACTAGAATTATTTGGCTACTTTGTTGCCAAAAAATAGGTCAATAATTTAAAAAATGAGACGATTAAAAATAACTCACCGGCTTGTTTATCTCTCTCCCAACTATCAGGAATTTTCACGTTGTTTAATGTGGCAAACTCATATGCAAGTGAGCGAAGTTTATCTGGAGACAGCCCGTAAAACATGTCAGCCAAGTCCGTAACATGCTTCGCCAAGTCGACTTCCATTTCCGGAGTAAATATCTGCTGGGCTTTACCAACACCATCATATCCAATATTCGGTATCGCTCCGCCTTCACTCTTTCGAATAAATCGTAGCAAAGTCATTCTCTGAATTCCATGGGCCTCTGCGGTTCCCCTTAACGATCTGCCTTCCTTTACTTCACTAGCAGCCAATTCAAAAACATCGCGAGGTGTTTTACCGCGGTTAGTTCTTCTTTTGTAGGCTCTGGGCATCGTCACTAGAAATAAAACAGAATATACTATTATAAGAAGATCTACGTTATATAATACAATATATTATCAAATAGGGGTAAGTTGAGCCATTGGCACAACTTACCCCATTAGTAAGTGATCAACTTACCCCACCTCGGCCATGATGAATTTACATGGCCATGTGTTCTTATATGATAAACAATGGAACAATATAAAACATTCAATTACAGCTAAGTGTCTCCATATCCTAACCATATAATATAACGGGGATTATCTCCATACATTTAGGTACAGGATGTTGCACAAATAAATTTGCCAATTTTCACTTTTTATGAGAGAAACTAAATTTTAATGCCTCATTTACTCACCTGCAAGTTGATTTCGTTATTAAGTACAGCAGATGATCTTTGATGTCTTACTCTACTAACAGATGGCAGCACGTCCTTGTAAAGTTGATATTCTCTGAGAAAAATAGGGGTGATCAACTTACCTGCCTGCTCAACTTACCCCGGTCTCCCCTATGTTATCAATGTTTATATATATCAATGCAACCAACACTCAAACCCGAGCACTGCTCAAACATTCGTTGGTGAAAACATAACCTCCGCCACGCCCCTGGCGGAGGTAATAATAGGCGGAAAATTTCTGACTGGTGGTAAATATGTTCCTGCACACCAGATTTTCTTGTCCTTGTTCAGTACCCGAACGTTCTGTCCCTCGATGAGCGGTGCCTGCTCGCGTGTATGCTGGTTAGCATACCATGTCGGTTTCTCGATGGCATCAGAAATGTGTTCACCATATCTCTCCTGCTGAGAACTCACTGTGGTGTGACTAGGTAGTGTCGTGGGAATGGCTCTACCAAACATCAACTCTGCTGGGCTGGGCAGATTGCCATCTAATGGAGTAGCTCTCACATTGAGAAGAGCTAGATCAACGTCTCCCCCCGTCTTCAAACACTTCTTGATAATCGGCTTGATATACCGAATCTGTCGCTCTACGAATCCGTTGGACTGGGCATATCTCGGAAGCTCAAGGTTTTTTTTACCAGGTCCAGCAATGAACTGTATATATACATATCACTGTGTGACATCTAATGTATATTTACGAATTACGTATCTTCCCTCATATATAACACGTTGCAGTCGCATTTTCACCATTTCTTTTGTCTCTTCATCATTAATTTTTGATAACTGCATCGCAATATACTTTCCAAAAACCTCATCATCTTTTTCGACCTCAGGGTTAGTGCGTTTGCCTTTGGGTGGTATTATGCCTGAACGTTTGCGTTTTGCGCTCTTGGGTGTCTTCTTCATTGTTGGGGTCGATAACCCAGATGCAGTGGATGGGGTTGGTGACGGAGCTTCCCTCAACGATGACTGTGTCTCCTCTTCATAATCATCCTCATCACTCGTACAAACTGATTGCACCTCAGGCGCTGTATCTAGATATATTGTCTCCAATTCTTGTGACTGATCCTTAAATTAGAAAAAAAATATTTCCTAAGTCAACACCAACAAGAAATGGGAGAAGATTGAGTGTAAACAAATTACCGGTATCATCATTACTAAACAACTCAAATTGTCCCAGTAATTAAGAACATAATTTACATATCATAACAAATTAGTGATGCAGCATCATATGACAATGGCATCTTGTGTTCTTCTATGGAGTAATCATTTTTAGTCTACTGTAAATATTACCACTAGCTCGTCCTCTTCCTTTTCATTGTGCGTCACCTTGTAGTGTTCACGTAGCTGCTGAACAGGCACATCAGCGGCACAAATAGCACACTTCTCTGTGCAACAGTTGTATAGTGCATGCTCCAGTTTAACGTAAAACTGGTATTGGCTTATTCGGCATTTATTGTATTTACATATGCTTACTATAATAATATATATGAAATGGAACAATAGTATGATTGATGGCTGCACCTTTCTGCAATTATAATTTATTCATCTCATGAGTAAAGTAGTCAAAAATAAAACAAGTAAAGGTTTAAAGTTATGTAAAAAATAAAAGCATCATAACACAAATGTAATAAAATAGGTGTGGTGCTTTGGATCTACATTTCTACATCATCTTTATAGGCACATGCACCTACCTCAGCTGACATCGGCTCTGAGAAAGCTGAACGAGTGGAATGATGTAAATGTATCATCTTTGACTTTAATGCAGTGGGTGTCGGTCAGATAGTTTGGGGTGTAACCTTCAGGCCCAGGTGTATTCCTTTACACAGACAGCTGTTTGCCTTACGGCC